CATGTGGTGTTAAACCCCAGCTCGCCTCCCTTCATCTGTACATTCATGTGGTGTTAAACCCCAGCTCGCCTACCTTCATCTGTACATTCATGTGGTGTTAAACCCCAGCTCGCCTATCTTCATCTGTACAGTCATGTGGCGTTAAACCCCAGCTCGCCTCCCTTCATCTGTACAGTCATGTGGCGTTAAACCCCAGCTCGCCTCCCTTCATCTGTACAGTCATGTGGCGTTAAACCCCAGCTCGCCTCCCTTCATCTGTAAACCGTTAAAGCCCCAGCTCGCCTATCTTCATCTGTACAGTCATGTGGCGTTAAACCCCAGCTCGCCTCCCTTCATCTGTACAGTCATGCGGCGTTAAACCCCAGCTCGCCTCCCTTCATCTGTGCATGAGTCACATGGCGTTAAACCCCAGCTCGCCTCCCTTCATCTGTAATGTCATGTGGAGATGTGAAAGGCAGTATTCCAGCACCGTGGAATCTTGTCACAACAGTGGGGAGTTGACTCACTGACGGAGGTTGTCCGGTTGATGTTCAGTGAAGGTTTTCGGGAAGGGTATTTTGAATATTATCGCTTAACCCATACACACTGTCGCCGCAAATAATCACCCCTACAAGTCAAGAGAGGAATAATCGCCTCCCTTGCCAGAAGAGCGAAGAAGTCAGCTCCACGACCCAAGCCTTCAGGCCGAGTGACATGTCATGTCTTCATAAACCTTAATCAGTATCCACCTAACCTTGACAATCAATCCGCCAAAGCCACTCTCAACCCAAGAGACAAACCACCACGTCAGCAATAAGCACCGTTCATTATCAGCATACCATACAACCAGCCACCATATTCGCTGACTACTAAAGAAGCAAACCAACATAGATGCTGTGTTCCAAAGATGCACATCAATTCAGCACATTCTACCAGCGGTAAATCAGCTACAAGCAACAATTAAAATCCTTTAGGCGTTGTCTACCACATTCAATGCCAACGTGTTGACTCGTACGCAGGTGAAACGTCTTGCCTCCTAAACAGACATCTGTGAAGATAAAAAGACTCCAAATCAGCCATTTCTGGCCACACCCAAGCCCATCCGAACCATACCATACTTTGGAACAACATGAGCATCCTTGAAGCCAACCGGTCGGACTACAAGTGAAGAAAACTCTTAGAGGCAATCACACGACTCAACCCGACTCAACCGAGATCAAGGTTACTACATCCCTACAGCTTACCATCATCTAATCAAGGCGAACCAACATAACCCTTCCCTACCCTCTTTCTCTGGCTTCATAATCATTACCTATTATCACATCTGTCAGTAAAGCCATCACACTGCACATCAACATGTTCAATTGTGTAAACTCTAATACCCTTCATGTATATATTCTCTTTGACTGACTGACTGAGTTTGGTTTTACGCCGCTTTTAGCAATATTCCAGCAATATCACGGCGGGGACACCAGAAATGGGCTTAACACATTGTGCCCATGTGGGGAATCGAACCCGGGTCTTCGGCGTTACGAGCCAACGCTTTAACCACTAGGCTACCCCACCGCCCCTCTCTTTGACATGTTCATCATGTGTATCATGTGCTTGATACCGGAGTTAGCATCCACACCGACACGTCGCATCTATTGCAATACAGAAGCTGTCTATCCATATAATGCGTTCCTCTTCATCATACCAGCTTCTAAATGCCACATAAAGAAACTACATCTGCAGCGGCGGATAAGTGAGACTGGACATCCACTGTTCTTGAATTTCTCCGTCGAACAGAAGAAAGACTTAATCATGCTTTGCTTACACGTCAGCCAATACACCAAAATGTCACAGGAACAGGGGGCGGTGGGGTAGCCTAGTGGTTAAAGTGTTCGCTCGTCACGCAGAAGACCCGGGTTCGAATCCCACATGGGTACAATGTGTGAAGCCCATTTCTGGTGTCCCCCGCCGTGATATTGCTGGAATATTGCTAAAAGCGGCGTAAAACCAAACTCACCCACAGGAATAGTGTTCCAAGCGGCGTTAATCCGAAAGTAATATCTCAGTAATTGGTTTGTAAAACTTAAAGCCATTTGTAAACCCCTACTGTTTACAACAATTTACAATAACGAGACCCAACTTGGCATGGTAACCATGCTTGCGTGGAGGTGTCACATTGTGAAGGCTGACTTGAACTTCGCTGCCTAAAGAAGTTGACGCCAGGGAAGTAATAGAAGTCCAATCACTGATTTGGTCAGTGTGTGCTGAACGCGCCAGACCAGAAATGCGTTTGTTGTACATTGAATATATTTTATTGGTGTTGTGGGGTATCTGTTATATAATAAACGGAATTTTGTGTTCGAATTACTCAGAAATACATCAGATAAATATTAAAATACTTCGACATATTCAGCTTGGCGTGCTGTGTGGGAAATAGGTCAAACGTACTGCACAACATGTAACTGATGCTGTAAAGGAAATGCAATAAACCTGTGAATGTGCCTGAAAATGATGATATTTACGTGAAGATTAATACACATGTCTCGGTCTAAGACATTTCTTATGACAATTGTACCACTTCTTACAGTACAGTACATATCCACAGATGAACGAAATTGTTACAGTTCTTCAATACATCTTTCATTTTCTCACCTGTATCCTTGTTGCCAACACTAATTGTACATGTATAATAGGGTTGGTCTTGCTCGGCGTCTCCACATCAGTATCATTACCAACAATTTCACTAGTAATAGACATGATCTTTCCACGAAAACAAACAAACGAAATCAGACTTGTACAAATACTCAAGTTAACAAAAAATCGCGTTCCATGGTATATACTACTGATTGGATGAACTTGTGTCACTTCACCCTAACAATATAAGCATTCTCGCAGTGTCACTTCATCCTAACAATATAAGCATTCTCGTAGTGTCACTTCACCCTAACAATATAAGCATTCTCGCAGTGTCACTTCACCCTAACAATATAAGCATTCTCGCAGTGTCACTTCATCCTAACAATATAAGCATTCTCGCAGTGTCACTTCACGCAAACAATATAAGCATTCTCACAGTGTCACTTCACCCTAACAATATAAGCATTCTCGCAGTGTCACTTCACCCTAACAATATAAGCATTCTCGCAGTGTCACTTCACCCTAACAATATAAGCATTCTAACAGTGTCCGAATTGTAACCCTTGTTGCGCTTCACGCCTGCTGTAACCATCCAAGTTACTGAACTGTTTTAGCAACATCGTTGGATCATGTTTTGGATACTGATACAGGTAACACTAATGATTATTAATTTACCATTACACCTTTACAACTGTTGCATCTACAAAGGTCCATGTTCGTGAAGATCCGGGTAAGAATTTGCCTTCAGCAACTCATTATTATTGTAAGAACGGCATCGGCTGGTCAGACACAATGACGTGGTTGATGCACGTCATCGTCTCCCAATTGCGGAGATCGATGGACATGATGGCAATTACACGATTATTCAACAACAACCAACCAACCACACAAAACAATGTACACAGATGAAGCCATGAGCAAATAGTAACAGGAAATAAATACTAACATATATTATAGTAGCAACAAAACTTTATTAAACAAATCAACATGGTATGAGTAATATGCGCACGTACGTTTATTTGAAGCATTCTAAAAATATAAATTTTGCAATAAATTATACTCTCTCTAGTACGCCAGTGCATATCAGATATCACAATGGTTCAATGTTACAATGGGCAGTGGTGAACAGAGAATCGGGGTACAAAATTCGATGCAGGTGCAAAATGACACAATGATTTTGTATTCAAAACAACGTCAAACACGTTTTCTATTTCATGTGAAAAGACCTATTTATGTACATATAACAGCTGATATAACCAAAGCTTATGGCAATACTTTGTGGTATGGTTCAACTGCACCGAATATTTAACATACTATTTCTGTTGTCGGGGCAACGTCCGTATCATTTCTGGTGATAGTGTCTGATATGTGAATGGCTTTACCCAGAACTATGACCAGCCTACTTGTCACGTTTAATTACATTTCGGAATATTAATGAATATTGTTTTCATTTAATAACATCCGTATCTAAACTTTGAAAACAAATTCGAAAACAGTTGTTTACGATCCGTGGCATTTATCTCTTGGGAAAAGACTGATTTAAAACATTTTTAAAATGCATTTAAATAGAGCAGCTAGATAGGACAAAACGTGTCCTGACAAACAAATTGAACAATATATTACATACGAAGTTACAAAACAATGTGTGTGAGCACAAGGTATCCTGTCATACAATATATTACATACGAAGTTACAAAACAATGTGTGTGAGCACAAGGTATCCTGTCAAACAATATAAAAAACTGTCAAATATTTAGAATTAATGAGAATGACACGACCAAGGGTCCCACCATATATGAAATATGTACAAAGTACTAAAGTAAAATTCAACGACAGATTAAATCTACCTTGACGGTTTAACATTAACAATCTCAAATGATGTGTAAATGAATGGTGCAGCTCACCACATTTCCTCACGTCTAGAGAACTGGTAATACATTTTAGTTTGGCATTTGAGGTTTTGAGTTTGTTGTATATATACTGAGGGAAACAAATAAGGGAACACATGAAATCGCAAGTGGTCCTTTATTCTTTTCCAGGATTCTTATCAAGCTTTGTTTTGCACTGTGGGTGAAAGTTGTCCTAAAAATTCAGGAACACTGCGATGAAGTGGTGTTCCCTTATTTGTTTCCCTCAGTATACATTGATCTGGACTCTTCAGCTTTGTTAGAAATACTCTGAAGTGATTGTTAACAGTAGTAATTACGACTTGTTAAGGTATTTCTGATGATATATGTTCAATGATTTGTTTTGTTTTATGCATTCATCTTTCAATGTATTTCGTGTCAAATCTTTAGGTTCATTTTCCAACCCTTATGCCTGTGATGTATAAATCGCGGGAAATAATATTATTGTACAATGTCCACAAATACACAAAGAACAAGAACTTCAACCACTGTGCGAAATGTATTCCAATCAACAATTATTGCGCTCCATTTCTAGCCTACTCCAGTTTCTGTGAGAAACATTTGGCAATGTCAACGTGTTCGATGTTTTGATCACTCTGGCAACCCGTTAACGTTTGTCTTTTCCTTTTCCATTCTCACTACAGAGATGGAAGCAGCCACCGTCGGCCTCTTTAGCTTCATTCCACACACCACGTCACCGCAACCGCCATTGTCAGCATAACCACACACCCCACTTCAACAAGTTTAAAAACACGGAACAGAAATGTATGGTTTTGATTCTGGATTCTTGAGCAAAATATGTCTGTCCGTACTTCTACTGACACTTGCCTACACAGCAAGACAACGGTATGTGTTCGCAAGACGGCCAAGTCTAATAATGCCCACGTGAAAACTTCTCCATGTTTGTGTGGCAATGGCGTTTCGTACTGCATGTCGCTGCCATTTATGGATATTGTAGTACATGTGTAGGTGTTTCTCAGGTGTTAAGGAAAAATCATCCTTAGCTACAAGATTACACACACCCTCCAGAAGTACCAACATCAGATTATTTTCAGAATGCGTTGTGTTTGGCACATTCCTTTGAATGAGAGAAGAATTCCAAATGGTGTCTCCTCCATTGGTACGACCTCTGTAGGTGCATGTGTGAATGTATACACTGGCATGCTTTGTCTTTGACATTGGAATCGTGAGTCACACAAACTAACCTGCATCTCGACAAAGACCTTCGACTAAAGTCTACATTTCGACAAAGACGTAGATTAACCAGTACCCCAGGTTGAACAGGATGAAGGCTGCTGGGAATCCGTAACGAGCCAACCGATCCACATACCGCGCTCCCATCTTGCCGAACATCCGGGTCACGTCAGTCTTCTCCGTTGCATCAACTCCAGTCTGTCATACAAATACATCACGTGTATGATTGTTGACCTTGACATTCAGAGCATGTATACTGTGGGGAGAGAGGGGAGGGCGGTGGTTGGGGGAAGAGAGGGTGGGGATGTATCACTAACTGCGATATGTAAATAAAGAGCAAGTTGTTCGCACTGTAAATGTTCATAATTTTTTAAACATAGATATAAGACGATTTGGACATATTCCACATGACACAGAGTCTTTATCAGTTTAATCGCTTAATGCGTTTGGCTCCAACAATTGTTAACGTTGTGATACTACATCATTATCAGCCGTTCGGACGTATGTTTCCCTGACATCTCAGCTCCCTGTTGCAACTGTACGTGCACAAGTATAGTACTTAATACTCCATAAAACCTTCGTGATTTAGAGGTTTCTATTTCTTAGATTGTGCATCTGCCGTGTACCAAGGAGGTTCCGTATCTTAAAGTCGGTTCCGTATCTATAAATAGCCATTGAAATAAAGCTGTATACACCAAACCCGTGAAGATCCGGGTTAGAATATTGATCTTCAGTAACCCATGCTTGTCGTAAGAGGCGACTAACGGGATCGGGTGGTCAGGCTCGCTGACTTGGTTGACACATGTCATCGGTTCCCAATTGCGCAGATCGATGATCATGCTGTTGATCACTGGATTGTCTGGTCAAGGCTCGATTATTTACCGACCGCCGCCATGTAGCTGGAATATTGCTGAGTGCCGCGTAAAACTAAACTCACTCACTGTATACAACCAACCAGATTATAACACTCACCCCGTTTAGAGCGATACTCTCGTCTGTCTTCGCCGAAGAAAATCCGAAGCATTTCCAAGGCATGCGCCTTCTTGCTAATACGTTGATGTAGGCGAACTCCAACAGGGACGCGAACACAAAAAACAGGCAAGTCGACATCCAGACGTCGATGGCCTTCACATACGACACTCGGGGCAAGGACGCACGTGCACCGGAACTCTGCGTTGTCATGGTAAGCACAGTCAGGACGCCCAATGAAATTCGAGCAGGGATAGCTTCGATGTCGAGCCAGAAGGAGACCCAGGAGAGGATGACGATGAGAATGCTCGGGACGTACACTTGGATGATGTAAAAGCCGACGTCACGTTTAAGGATAAAATCTGCTCGTACGCAGGAAAAGCTGCCGGCTGAAAATATACGTCCCGGTTTACACAGAGTGCAACAGATGCTAGATGCACTTGGTTACTGTAATATTATCCTTTGGTCGATTTTGCAAAACGTTTAAAGTAGAAAACCTATTTTAAATGCGTGAAACATTAACAAATAATGCTTTGCAATTATATATATGTATCAGCTGGTGCCGGGGAAACAAGAGAGGAAATATAACACATCATAAACAAATGAAAAGATCACGATGACGATACTTATCAACGCGCTTGTCACGTTTCGGGGTGGATCCTATTGTATATGTAGGATAAGCCTAGATTAATGGTACTAGCGTGAGTACTTTGTTATTGATGGCTGGGTCAATGTATACATTACACCGTATCTATACATGTACTGCAGCTGCAGCTGGTACATAAGCGAGTCTTACATGCAAAACAGCGGTTTCACTGAATCACGACTTTGGGTTCACGACTCAGCTAAGTCACACAGTGCGTGTGAATTTCGGGATTAGTTCCAGTGGCCCCAAATTCCCTGCGGGCAGGCAGCATGGGCTACTGGTAAATTACACCCTGGGGTGTCAGGCGTGGGGAATCAGGCATTGTCAGAGTACTAGATCAAAGGATCTACGACTGTGACAATCCTGAAATACCGGAGGACTATGTTTGGCCGAGATCGTAAGCGGGAGACAGGTATTGGGGGTCTTTATACTACAGCGTACTCGGGATGTGTCTTGGGTAGGAATCCCAACAAACGGATTCAAAAAGATAAAACGTGACCATCGTAAGCCTTAACATCACGGTAAGGGTACTAACTTTCTTTGTAAGTCTTGGTGCAGTTTCCAAGGTTATGTTCTTGCAGAGTGTATTGGGGCAACTCCAGATTGTCGTTGAAGTCCACCGGTTTGTGCTGCACCCAGTCGTACACTATGTTCTCCATGGTATAGCCGTCTGTATGGACAAACAAAGACACTTTAACTATTGTAGATTACGTAAAAGTAGGTGAAACATTTCAAGGCCCTTCATCAGGATTTGATCTGAAGATTATTAATCACCCATATTACTTTATGTTTAAAGTGCAATACAGTGCCACTGTTTTCTATTTCCGAAACGCAGGATTTACCGTGTATATCACACTACCAGGAACTCATATACTTTTAAAGAGTAATCAACATCGTAAAGTATTCAGAAATCCTATTTGTTAACTACATATACCGGGAACTATATTAACATCCAAACCAGTGTCAGTCATTAACGCGAGTGTCAAAGTTTCTACATGAACACGCTATCTATTGGTGGGTTGTAAGCAATCTGGCCGCACACCAACAACTACAGAAAGTAGCTATTTCCCTGACTCGTCATCTATACAGAACTATCAAGTCTGTTGACGGATCTTGGCAACGCGTCCAGAATAGCGTGTCAATATGCCTTTCATTAGTCGATTTGGAATAGGTACATTTCCTTTCCAGAATCGCGGACTTGTCATCAAGATTGGAGCTGAATTACTGTCGTACATGAAGTTAATAACTTCCATCTCTCGCACTCCCATGGCACCTGTCCAGCTTCAGAAGAGATCAACAGCATGGCACTGACTCAGGCTTGCAACACGCTAATGTTGCAGAGTGTATAATGTGGTGAACTGAATCTAGTGATTACAACTATCCATAAGTGTATGGATTACGTAAACAGATAAATACATACGACCTCCGCAATATCTCATGTTTAACAAATCATAATTTGTTATATTTGGTCACTGCAAATGCCAATATCAACTTTCATCAGTGTTTGGCAAAGCTTAAAGTTGAACGTGGATTCAGTAGGGATGACACTTCAGAAGAAACCCTTTCAGTTAGTTGGGGAATGTCCATCGGAATGACTATTTTTTTTTAAGGTTTTCAGATACAAAAGTAAAGGAAAACAAATGCACAGGTTTTCATTCATATGAGAGATGGTAAAATGGTAATTAATATGGGTCAAAACGTATTCTTAGTCAGCAGACCTGTTTATAACCACTTTGTACAGGAGACCATCACTGAGCTCAGTCCAGATAGAAAACACACACAATACCCGTGAAGATCCTTGAATTGATCTTCAGTAACCCATGCTTGTCGTAAGAGGCGACTAACGGGATCGGGTGGTCAGGCTCGCTGACTTGGTTGACACATGTCATAGGTTCCCAATTGCGCCGAACCCGTGAAGATCCGGGTTAGAATTGATCTTCAGTAACCCATGCTTGTCGTAAGAGGCGACTAACGGGATCGGGTGGTCAGGCTCCCTGACTTGGTTGACACATGTCATCGTATCCCAATTGCGTAGATCGATGCTCATGCTGTTGATCACTGGATTGCCTGGTCCAGACTCGATTATTTACCGACCGCCGCCATATAGCTGGAATATTGCTGAGTGCCAACTCACTCACTCACTCACTCACTCGAAAACACAGTGTGGCAAAACAGGAACAAATGTAAATCTATATGTACGTACAGCTGGCGATGAGGATTGGACACTTTTGTACATCCAGGGGGTATTTCTCCAGACGCATGTGGCAGCTCAGTGTGATGGACAACCTGCAAGTAGAGTGAAAGTATTGGAGACAGTGGAGGGATTACACTTGACAATCATATACAGAATTTTCTTTGTTTTGGCTGTAGATATTTACCCAATATCTGCAATCTCTGTAAGAGTTGTATTTGGTGGTGTCATGTAAACAATACATTCTGGACCAACCAAACCAGTGAACGATATCGGCAACAGAATTTTATTGAAAATGAGCACCCGCTCTGTATGGTCGCCTTTAATGACAAGCTCTGGTTGATGGAGACTAACCCGTATCAATCCTACACAAACTCTAATGGCCAATTGTATGTCAAGTACGTGTATGATGATAATTTAAGTAATCTGCTGATCTTTACAGACATGGAACACTATTGTGACATACCTGTATATACATACTGCCTGAACACTACCAATGGTGGGATTCGTACAATGCATTTCCTGTCTGTGACGGTTTAACTCAATTCAGTCGCCGTATGCCATTTACCTATCAATGTAGGCATATATTTACACATGTCCTCCGTCACGTTTAGGCCTTTCCTGAATATCTGGAATCATTATATTCTTCGATAGTAATCCATACACCCATGCTAATGGTTCAAAACTTCTTGAAATGGTTTTACTGCTTGTATTTATATGAAACGTGTCTCTCCTTTCTATATCAGTGTCAGCACACTGAAGATAAATGCCTAATATAATTTCTCAGATCAATGGAATTCATGGCTTTTACTTTCAACTAACGATATACATTTATTGAACTTGCTGGTAGTTTCGTGGCTTGAGGTGTCTCTTGATATAAGTTATACTCACTGCCTCAGCATCTTACCCATTCTCTTCTCTTTGCAGCACGGAATACCTATGTTACTTCATTTCATATCGTCATCTTTGACAAATGCATTCACATTGAAGTCGATCTAACGTCATCGTCAACATAGCTATCAATAGAATATTAATCATTGAAGGTCAGTTTCCATAAGTTTCTGAATGATGGACCAAATGTAATCTTCGAACAACTCATATAAAGCAATTTTGTATGAACGTGTAAAGTGTTCCTTTATAGCTTTATGCGTTTTGTGGTACTTGAAGAAAAAGGAACACCAAAATAACTGTAAACAGGGTCATAGATATCTTTCAGAATGTAGAACAACGCTGTGGGAATTAGTCCTGGTTTAACTGGAAGTAGTATCATCCCTCTTATATACATGGTGTATCATATGGTAATGCGATGAAATATGAGTGTCTACCATTCCATTCTTATTAGCGTCAAATAACAAATCCCTTCCGATGCTTATACAATGGTAGAGGTCAGGGAATGTATCCATTTATTCAGACCTTTCTCGTGTTTGGAGAAAAGTGACATGTATTCAGTGCTATGCTGCCATAGACACGAGTTGGTTGTACATACGTATCACATGGTTATGGGTGGTTCTGGTGGAGCCAGTTAATCCATTCGGCTTAACAAGCTTGGGGATTAAAGTCAACCTCACATTATAAACATACATGAATGGTGAATATGTGTGTGTTCATTTTACCCTTCAGGAGGGAGTTGGAATTAGGAAGTACTCAGTATTAGCTGCACAAGTATTTCAGTAACACCAAAACAACGCTTTACAAATGGAATCAGGTGTAAACTGGTTAGGGTATCTTTACTACCACAAGTCAACTCTACAGTAAATATGTGCATTACGGAATGATCGTGTTCGTGCTTTTTGATATGAAGCGTATGGCATCCCATTAAAGAACGACTGAATGATTCGACACGCTTTTGAACAGCCACAAGATAATTAAGGATTTAAAACTTTTAAATGGCCTGGCCAGTCAACACGCTGACAAGCCATCAGGGCAGGAGAAAGAGAAATTTATTACAATCACAGCAGGCTATACGCGTTTTCGTTGTTCAGGGTTTTTTTCAGTGAACGGTTTCCATTTCACATTATGTTTCTCTGAAACATGAGCTCATAACAAGGGCTCTAAAGCTATTGAATTTTTCTCCTAAAATGTAAGAGCATCTATTACAGACGCCAAATATGAACACGACATTGAAATCTGAGGAAGAAAACGTTTCATCACAGCGAACTCCTGGTATGATGTGAAGACATAATGCCGATAGTTCTGTCTATTCTAATCTGATATCGTGATTGAGGGAGCATTTGTCTAAGTCGGAAACATGCCACAATTTTGTGATCGTGTATTCAAACACTAGGTTCGCCATCTTGATGTTTTCAGGTTCGCTAACACTATTTCAGTAGCCTCTAATTTTGACATCTGCATCACTTTGATTGTCAAGCCGACACGCATGTAATGTTGAAAGATGCGCTAGGAACAGTTCCTTTTCCCACCTATCGTATCAACGAGAAGAGTGTGTTTGGTTTGGCAGTCAGCAATATTCACTGATATATTAAAGGTCACGATCACATGTCAGCCACCCAACACACTGTCACCGTTCAATGTTCCCCTGTAACTACTATTACGATATATATGGTGTATTGGGGACCGTTGTCGCATACTTGTGAAGCCCTATATCGCCAAGTGTGATCGAATATTTTCTTTTTCGTACATTATATCATAGATCTCTGAACCTATTTCTGATATGATACATATTCAGTATTTATTTGGTGATATCTTAAGAAAGATAACCCTGCCATGTACATGCCGACATGGGCTCTCAGAGTTTAGGTTGCTCAGTCATGCACACATGCGACGATGGAAATACAATGGGAATATATTACTTTTAAACGATCCTTTGGGTGTAAGTTTCGGGACTAATAAACCATCTCTTTCATATAGTTAGGAGTTTTTGTTTAAACATATTTAATTTACAAAGCAATACTGGCGGGTCTGCCAAATGTAATATAAATCTGGCGACATCAACCATGCTTCTAACTCAAGCGCAGTAAAACTGTATGAATGTCTAGTGATGTTGACAAAGTCAGTTTGCCTGAAAAGTTGGTTTATCAATAACTAAAATCATGTAACCCAGGGACAGCTTCACTCCAGACAAATCAATGTATCAGGTGACGCTGTCTTCACTTCTCAGTGAGATGACACAAGCGATAGGTTAGCGAAGAAAGAATTACGGGTTTTATCAAAATTCTTCTTCTAAGTGTCTCGCAGGAGACACATTAACTTATACAGACGCTGTCGTAAACAGCAGTACTCATGTTCTGACAGCAATTTACACAAGAGTCAGTAAACGTTGGTTTACACACAGCCCCAGCTTCTACAGCTTCCTCGATGTGAGTGACTACCACAGCGCGACATTCCCTACCACATAACCCTTCCCATTTCTCCTATAGATACTGGATGTTCAGTTGAATAAATAGTTGTGAAAAGAGCTACAATCTACAATATTGGAACCCGTTAATGAATTAACAAGAGCCATCCGAGAAAAAGTAAATTTGCTGCAAACGGTTATACATTTGGCTGTAATTACACACACACACACACACACACACACACACACACACACACACACACTGACACTCCTTCAGACTCAGACAGACACACACACACACACTGACACTCCTTCAGACAGTCATACAAACATGCATGGGCACACAAATATACATACATACGTACACACCATCGTATTGTGGTTGTCAACGTATACATGCTCACACAAACACACCAACAGAAACATCCATACAGAATCATGAACACACACACACACATCCATACACATATACATAAATATATCCATATATCCACATTACATGCACACACATCACACCAACATACAGAAACATCCATACAGAATCATGAACACACACATCTATACACACATACATGAATATATCCATATATACACATATACACTTTACATGCACACACATACACGCGTCAGTATATTTTGGGTTGCAGAAACTATGATTCAACGTGAAGGCGCACATGGTGGTAACGCTGACACCGGGAGAGTAAACACCAGCCACTGGGACGGACCTTTACACTGTGTCATCATAGTGAGATAAAAATCTACAATAAATGGATTGACCTTCCGATGGGACCATGTTTTTGTGTGGTCTGACAGGCGCTTTTTCACAGGAGGCTTGATATGGATGAGTATATGACAGACCGTTTAAAAATGTTTAAGAAATCCTTTGTACAAAGCACGCTATTAGTTACGGGATCCTGCAATTTAGACACAATTTCAGCCCCTGCCCCTTGGGACCACTGCCCAGATTGTTTCCATTCAGCTGTTTTGACTTTAAATGCAGAGATCGCTCGCTTACCATAATCCTATTTCCCCGTCCCAGGAATATTTATGAACAAATCAAACGAAACGTGTTTTGCAATCACAAACCTCCAGATTTCTGTATATTTACAATCCACACTAGAATGTAGTCCGTCCATTCAATGGCAGGTTTCAATTTACCCCGTCTGTGGTGCATATCTTACACAGGACTGATGAATAAGATGGAACTTACAGACATGTGAAATTGTTTGTACCAATTCTGAAAGTCCAGTAAATACGTAACTATTATCATTGTGTTATGAATTCGAATTGTTGGACGTTCGCTTTGGTCATTGTCAATAACGTCAACTGTTAGTCGCCTTCGATTTTTCATGTATATATTAAACGTTTCTTTTGCTCGTAAGTGTGTTTAACGAAACACCAGGTGTTCTATGATTCGGTCAGACAATGGTGATTGTTACAGCGGCTGGTCAGCCTCCCTCACATACACACCAGGTGCTCTATGAGTCGGTCAGACAATGGTGATCGTTACAGCGGCTGGTCAGCCTCCCTCACATACACACCAGGTGTTCTATGATTCGGTCAGACAATGGTGATCAGCCTCCCTTACACACCAGGTGCTCCTCCCTCACATACACACCAGGTGTTCTATGATTCGGTCAGACAATGGTGATTGTTACAGCGGCTGGTCAGCCTCCCTCACATACACACCAGGTGTTCTATGATTCGGTCAGACAATGGTGATCGTTACAGCGGCTGGTCAGCCTCCCTCACATACACACCAGGTGTTCTATGAGTCGGTCAGACAATGGTGATCGTTACAGCGGCTGGTCAGCCTCCCTCACATACACACCAGGTGTTCTATGATTCGGTCAGACAATGGTGATTGTTACAGCGGCTGGTCAGCCTCCCTCACATACACACCAGGTGTTCTATGATTCGGTCAGACAATGGTGATTGTTACAGCAGCTGGTCAGCCTCCCTCACATACACACCAGGTGTTCTATGATTCGGTCAGACAATGGTGATTGTTACAGCGGCTGGTCAGCCTCCCTCACATACACACCAGGTGTTCTATGATTCGGTCAGACAATGGTGATTGTTACAGCAGCTGGTCAGCCTCCCCCACATACACACCAGGTGTTCTATGATTCGGTCAGACAATGGTGATTGTTACAGCGGTTGGTCAGCCTCCCTCACATGCACACCAGGTGTTCTATGATTCGGTCAGACAATGGTGATTGTTACAGCAGCTGGTCAGCCTCCCTCACATACACACCAGGTGTTCTATGATTCGGTCAGACAATGGTGATCGTTACAGCGGCTGGTCAGCCTCCCTCACATACACACTAGGTGTTCTATGATTCGGTCAGACAATGGTGATCGTTACAGCGGCTGGTCAGCCTCCCCCACATACACACCAGGTGTTCTATGATTCGGTCAGACAATGGTGATCGTTACAGCGGCTGGTCAGCCTCCCTCACATACACACCAGGTGTTCTATGAGTCGGTCAGACAATGGTGATCGTTACAGCGGCTGGTCAGCCTCCCTCACATACACACCAGGTGTTCTATGATTCGGTCAGACAATGGTGATTGTTACAGCGGCTGGTCAGCCTTCCTCACATGCACACCAGGTGTTCTATGATTCGGTCAGATAATGGTGATTGTTACAGCGGCTGGTCAGCCTTCCCCACATACACACCAGGTGTCCCAATCACACTACAAAAATGACGTAAGAATGACGTAAACCAGTACAGGACAAAAAGTATAATGCCTACCGCAGACAGACGTTTCAGACACAGTACGGTTCCTAACCTCACCTTGACATTGGTAGTTGCAGGGCATGAGTGAGTGAATTTGGCCGAAACATTACCGTGACAACAAACTTATAGAAAGAAATAAAACGCGTGTAAGCTCAAAGATTTAAATTACATAAATGATTGATGTATCCGCCTTTCATGATGTTCTTCTATATCTGATGTGTTGTTTACAGGGCTAATTCGAATATTGCCCCTTCTGAACTGTTAGCGGTTTCAACATTTACAAGAAATTTACCCCGAACGCGGTCGATATTTTGTATACTCAGTGGGTGAATTATAACGCATATGACAGACACGCATAACTGTTATATTGGATTGACTGTTGTCGTTTAGGATAATCATTTTTCCTGTCACTTGTTAGTCCTTTTGGGATTTTTAAGTCAGCTATTTATATTTGGATTAAAATATTGTTCAATAGGTATAGGCAAAATCAACTTGTGCTTTAACACGTGCAGCGCCTAGTTCCAGCTTCACCTGTCCAGTAAGCCAGCAGTTGCTGCACGCCGTGGAACCAATAACGTACTGACGATCACAGAAAGGTAACCGGCTGAATCGGGGATTCGCTTCACGATCATAGCCTGGAGATGGTATGTCCTAGACGACTGCATGACACAGCCACGCATACACGGGGTTTCACCATTCTTGACAGTCGCCTCCCTTGAACATTACCTCTCTGAACATCGTAATCCACTTACCTCATACTGTAGTATATCGTGCCGTTCCGGTAGAGGTGCATCAGTCTGTTTGGCACAGTGACTTCGTGGAAGGCTCCTTTCTTCTCGTTCCTGAAGAACGTATCCGGCACCCACACTTTCTGCATGATCTTTGTATCCAGCTCCAGCCAATCCGTCTTCGAGAAGTTGATGTACTGCAGTCTAGGGTCCACCCATCTTTGCCTCAGATATACGTTGAGAGAATAATCCTGGAAATATTGTGAAAAGTAAACACTTAAACTGATGGCAACCACGAGACAATCTACCAACACGTCCCTCGACTTCCTGGTTCATGGCACTGTTTCTGTGATGGAGTGTGTATGACCATGATAAATGAACTACGGTAAACTACGGTTAAAATGGGAACTCCAAGGGTCCACTAATCTTAGCTTGTAAGAACAGATCGAAACCCAGACAAACAGTTCATTACATCCGTTGTTTCGTCATAAACATTTTCGTTATAAACATAGTTTACTATAGTTGCCTTACAGCACCTGAGAAAAACGTTATGCACCACCCATTCTATAGTTTACAAACCAACCAAATCTTCTGGCAAGGACAAGACATGTCATTGGTATTATTTTTTTCAACGTGCTGGTACCCGCAGAGAGTCCATGAATATTATATTTGTCAACACGGGTCGTTAAATGTTGAACATGTGAGTTATGATTTATCTGACATCAAAAGACACGAGATTATATCTATCGCCTAAAGTCAACCTTGTGTGTGTACAGGTGCCATACGTTCCCCAGGTGAGTCTTGGAGATCGAGCACAACGATCTTACCATGGATTGCTCGTTGACGGAGTCTATACTCAGCACATACACCTGCACTCCAACTGTCGTGGCGTGATCTGGGGAGACATAAACCACAAGATGAGCCTCATGAAAGGTGGTGCTGTTTAATACCACAAACAACAATAACACAACTGATAGCCCCGGGGCCAGACAAACTGGTGATTGAGCAACGATTCACGCCATCGGATTACAGGTCACCGACAAGGATCATTTTTATTTTATTATTATTGGATATTTATATAGCGCACATATCCACGCACTAGTGCATGCTCAAGGCGCTGGATCACCTACTCAATTAGTTCACACCTTTCGACCGGTATATAGTTTGCCGTGGATCATCTTTCACCGAACACGTAACGTAAACAGCTACCTTTGATTAGCATGTGCAGTGATAACTACAGCATTTCCTAGCTTTTAACCCTCTCCAAGTAGAAGTACATACAGAATTACAACACTGACAAGATAAAATATAACATTCTGACTTTTGAGAATTTTGTCTGTTTATCGAAAGCAACCATTTTCGGGATGGCAGATAAATATCTTTACTCAACTGAATACAAATGGCGAATAATTATGAATAATTATACATAAACTGCCCGGCGAAATGTTTACACTTTTAAATTCAATCTAAGAATAAAATTACAAACGTTATCAAAAGGTAACCAGTCTGGAAACCCAGCAAATCTAAGGGGTTCATTTGTTTTGTTTATTGACGCACTCAGCAATACTCTATCTATATGACGGCGATCTGTAAATAACTGAGTCTGGACGAGGCAATCCAGTGACTGAAATCGTGAGTATCGATCTGCCGAAAATGGGATTCGATGACATGCATCAACCATGTCAGCGGACCTGACCACTTTATCTCGTTAGTCGCCTATTGCGACAAGCATAGGTTGCTGAAGACCAGTTCTAACCCGGATCTTCACAGATATAAATGATCTCTAATGATATGTATCCGCAATGAGCGTTACCTTCTTCATAGTCGGGAGATATCCGTGGGTTGTAGGTTGAGTTGATCAGGAGCATATCCAGGATATCTTGTCTGAAATTAAAACAACACAAATCGTAAACTTCAGCGGTTGATTTCGAACATTTTCAATTCTCTTGACAGATTTTCAATTAGTTTTACTCCCTGCGGCACAACGAATATTACAGAAATGCAGTATTTGTTATTGAAACTTTCCATGTGATTACTTTGTTGAGTAATTTGACAACATGCCACGCATGGCACTAACTCTGCGGAACTGTACACACAGATCGATAGCGGTAACACGATAGCTCCTTCGCCTCCTGGAGCCAGAAACAGCTGTTTTAGGGTCTGAGCTAGACACTGTCATATCTGATATTTTCACAAATAATATTTTGATGGAATGCCATACTGCTAAATGCATATTTCCATACTGGATTGAAACACACATGTTTGGATTCCATTGTTGTTAGATCTGTGATAACAATCAGTGCATGATTGGTCAGTTAGCTGTCTCATTATGGCATTAGAGCAAATATTGCTAATATCTGTTTGGGGCTCCATGTTGTAGGCCGCTTTATGAAAGTTATTAACTAAGATTACATATATTCGTTCAACAACAGTATAATTTACTTACTCAGAACGACGCGGTATTTTAAGAAATTGTTTCTCTAAGATTGTTCTCTCGTTTCAGTTGCAAAATAGATTCTAAACAATACATTTTATCCTACAGGATTATAAGTATTAACTACAATCTTCTATTCAAAGTCAAATGAATTATATACGAAACACAGAGTCAACTGTACGACGGAATATCATAAACATACATGTAAGAACCGCTGTGCAGTACTGACGATACCAAGGCCAAAGCAAGACACCATAAAAGTTTTTAAAAGCTTGCGTGCCTGAATTTTGATCAAACAACCTTGGAGACCCGTGGAACTCTTCATAGAAAGAGAATGCGGTTTGCCAACTCCATGCGTAAATATCCCACCAAATCCCAGATATGACTTAGCTCGGAACAAACATATGACGTCAACGCCAGAGCAGCTGCTCTCACGGACCACCAAAACAGCTACTAGCATGTAGGCAAAATAGCGGAACACGAAAACACGAAAATCAGTGATGATGCAATGTTGTCCGCGACAAAGGAGTCCTGGCAGCCACCCGCGCCACACAACTTACATGAAAGAGCAAGTGTTCCTTGCCAGACGCTGCATAGTAGTGCCGTGTCATATGATATGAAACTGTAACACGGGCTCGTTTCAGATCTCGCAACAAATATTTGTTACTGAATTTGGTTAATCAAAGACTACCATAATATTGTCGTTTGGAGAGATATTCTACACTGCACGTACAGGTCTTTGATGGTCAGATGTTTGTGAAAAACCAGACAACAACGCAGTACAATACAGGAATCTGTGCTCTGACACATGTCCATCATCATCGATTGCAATGACAGTAGGGATGAGCTGCATCAGTTGATGTTGCGGTGGTTAACCTAGGTATCGCCGAAAAAAACACACTAAAATAGCAAATGAATGTATACAAACACGTTTTTTACCAAACTTACATTCCACATTTGAAACAAATTTCTAACCAGATTAGCATCACCAAACTCTTTCGCCTCATAACCGACTAGAGAATATAACAGATACTCAAACTGATTACCTTTTTATGCACATGTAAATGGATATATTTATTGTAGGCATTATTAGAAGACATTACTGTTACTGGGTAATAAAAGCTTCAGAAGTATTATTTCGCAACAAATGATCAAGATGACGATTAGGTTGGCTGTGATATCAAAGTCAAAATAATCAACTTAAAACAACTTCAAAGAGAATTTTAATGGTACAATGTAGCTGCATTTTATGTATGACATTTGAAGGATTTATTGAGATAAAAGAGGAATGGAATCCAACTGCCAAGGGCTGATGTAAATATTAATACATTCCCTCAAATATACGATAATTCAGCTCACATGAACTATCTCTGAAATTCACCTGCCACTATTAGTCAATCCCAAGCACACGGTTGAAGTTGAGTTTCTGTGGACGGCGAGTTAAAACATGCATTATCTATGTTATAGGACTTTTGCTCAAAAGTTGTTTGATCAAGCGTACGACATAAGCTTTCAAAATGTTGAGGCCATTTCCAATTTTGACGCACCATTAACAAAATGATATCCGACGAAATCACACTTTCGATTTGTACAATATGTGCTCGTGTTGTTTCATGCGAACAATGCACTTGCCTCTGCATGTGTTTGTGACGGTGTACGGAACTTTGCCCACAGGAGCTTTGCCCACAAGGAACTTTGCCCACAGGAACTTTGCCCACAAGGAACTTTACCCACAGGAAGTATGCCACAAGAAATTTGCCCACAACATTTTTTACAGGAGAGGAACTTAACTGCCCATCATAATAATACAACATTGCATAAAATCAGTCAACTACAGAGAAACAGCCTATAATATAACACATTGACGGAGTAAAGAAAGTTCCTGGATTCGTTTGTGACTAGTGCCACCTGTGGGGCAGGATATCTGCACCTTGGCATCGTCACTATCAGGTTTGATGATTCGTAAACATTTGCTTATGATATAACCCGATTCGTACAGTGAATCCGAGTTTATACATCGTAAAAAATCTGTTAGAATCGACAATTCCGCTTATCTGAAACTGCTGATTTGTCTACGAAGTACAAGATTGTATGTCTAAAATAACACTCACCTTGACATTCCATTCAAACTTTTCTTCGAGGAAACCCATCGGGCACAAAGAAGTAATGATATCGTGGCAAGCACCGCCACTGTCGTCGATAGAGTTGACATCGTTGTTGGTGGCGAAGCTTCAATCGAGGCTACCGCGGACCTGAAAGGCAGAGTTGTTATTAGAGCGCAAGTCTACAATAACATTGCACGTTCAAGAGATATATATCACGACCACATGAAACACGTGTTACCACGGAAGAGTCCATGTACTCTGCTATCGCCGACATTTCGGTCCTCAAAACTATGTATATTAAGCGATCACCACATTGTGGCATTTGATTCATGTATGTACAATGCCGTTTCATCGGCATGAAGCGTTTACAAAGGATTGGGTGCGTAAGTACAGACTGTCTGTTTAGTACCTTAGCTGTGTACTACCCGCTGTACTGCATGCATGTCGGAGTACTGTCTAGAATACCTCTGTACCAATCAGTGTCTTGACCACTGGACCGACCTCGGTGTTGACCAGAGTAAACACCTCTGTGTTGACCAGAGTAAACACCATATTGATTACTAGATTGAGACAAGCAGGCCAGCAGCAATACTGCCAGGTGTACCGTCGACTGCACTGGTCAGGTTCGTTGACGAAACACGTGGGAATAATAAGAATCATAACAAATCCAGACAGTGTTCGTGTTCAGTTCACATGTATTAAATACAATTTTTACGTATTTTTCAGGCACTAGTGTATTGTACAGGCATTACATCACGTGCACACATTGACAGATTCTAGCGTATTCACACATTGACAGACGCTAGAGTATTCACACATTGACAGGCGCTAGAGTTTTCACACGTTGACAGATTCTAGAGTATTCTCACATTGACAGATTCTAGAGTATTCACACATGACAGACGCTACAGCACACTGACAGGCACTAGAGTATTCACACATTCACAGATGCTAGAGTATTCACACATTGACAGGCACTAGAGTATTCACACATTCACAGATGCTAGAGTATTCACACATTGACAGGCACTAAAGCATTCACACATTCACAGATGCTAGAGTATTCACACATTGACAGGCACTAGAGTATTCACACTCTGACAGACGCTAGAGTATTCACACACTGACAGACACTAGAGTATTCACACACTGACAGACACTAGATTATTCACACATTGACAGACACTAGAGTATTCACACATTGACAGGCACTAGAGTATTCAAACACTGACAGACACTAGACTATTCACACATTGACAGGCAGTAGAGTATTCACACATTGACAGGCACTAGAGTATTCACACATTGACAGGCACTAGAGTATTCACACATTGACAGGCACTAGAGTATTCACACATTGACAGACACTAGAGTATTCACACATTGACAGACACTAGAGTATTCAAACACTGACAGGCACTAGAGTATTCACACATTGACACTAGAGTATTCACTAGGTATTCACACATTGACAGACACTAGAGTATTCACACACTGACAGACACTAGAGTATTCATTGACAGACACTGACAGACACTAGAGTATTCACACATGACAGACACTACAGTATTCACTCGTTGACAGAAACTATTCTAGAATATTCACACACTGACAGACAGTAGAGTATTCACACACTGACAGACAGTATTCACACTGACAGAGTATTCACACACTGACATACACTAGAATATTCACACATTGACAGACACTAGAATATTCACACACTGACAGACAGTAGAGTATTCACACACTGACAGACAGTAGAGTATTCACACACTGAACATGCACTAGAGTATTCACAAACTGACAGACAGTAGAGCATTCAAACACTGACAGACACTAGAGTATTCACACATTGACAGGCACTAGAGTATTCACACATTGACAGACACTAGAATATTCACACACTGACAGACAGTAGAGTATTCACACACTGACATGCACTAGAGTATTCATACATTGACAGGCACTAGAGTATTCACACACTGACAGACAGTAGAGTTTTCACACATTGACAGACAGTAGAGTATTCACACATTGACAGACAGTAGAGTATTCAAACACTGACAGACACTAGAGTATTCACACAATGACAAACAGTAGAGTATTCACACATTGACAGACAGTAGAGTATTCACACATTGACAGACAGTAGAGTATTCTCACATTGACAGGTAGAGTATTCACACATTGACAGACAGTAGAGTATTCACACATTGACAGACAGTAGAGTATTCACACATTGACAGACAGTAGAGTATTCACTCATTGACACAGTATTCAAACACTGTATTCACAGTATTGAAAGACACAGTAGAGTATTCACACATTGACATTGACAGACAGACAGACGGTAGAGTATTCACACATTGACAGACACTAGAATATTCAAACACTGACAGACACTAGAGTATTCACACATTGACAGACAGTAGAGTATTATTCACACATTGATTCAAACAGACATCCACTAGAGTATTCACACACTGACAGACAGTAGAGTATTCACACATTGACAGACACTAGAGTATTCACACATTGACAGACAGTAGAGTATTCACACATTGACAGACAGTAGAGTATTCACACATTGACAGACAGTAGAGTATTCACACATTGACAGACACTAGAGTATTCAACACATTGACAGACAGTAGAGTATTCACACATTGACAGACAGTAGAGTATTCACACATTGACAGACAGTAGAGTATTCACACACTGACAGACACTAGAGTATTCACATTGACAGACAGTAGAGTATTCACACATTGACAGACACTAGAGTATTCACACATTGACAGACAGTAGAGTATTCACACACTGACAGACACTAGAGTATTCACACATTGACAGACACTAGAGTTTTCACACATTGACATACACTAGAGTATTCACACATTGACAGACACTGGAGTATTGTACAGGATTTACTGCACTACTAAGACAATGTAGTGTGTTGATGCCAAATCATGCACTGAGTGTTGTTATCAACCGTCAACGTGTGGTAATACTTAATGACTTTTTCTCATCAATTTCAGTTGCTCTCTGTCCATGCGTGCTACAGATGAAACCACGAACTAACGATAATCCACATAATTATTCATAAAATGAAATGTAAATGTCTATTGTGCGTTTTCTTTATCCAGTGTTACGCATATGCAATGTGGGGCGTAGAGATTGCGAACTGTAGCACGATATGTGCATTGGCCATATGTCACATGTACATCTGTAAACATGTTAATAACGATGTATTTGTCCAGTATCATTCTTTGATTATATCACACCCCACATGATACATTCATCAAAATGTAAAATAATGTTTTATAAGAGAAGTCTCTAGTAAATATATGCATTTTGTCAAAAGTGAGAAAGGAATTCTAGCTGATATGCGTCACACCTCACTTGCTCAGCGAATCGTTCAATAATAGTTTGAAAACTATTGTTTCATGAGATTTATTTTTTACATATTAAAAGTAACCAAACTTTCAGAACTGAAGATATTTTTTGTACAGCAGAAGTATTTGCTCAGATGTGACGAAGCTTTAAGTATCACTCAGTCAGACCTAAGTCCTGGAGTTGAATGCTTTCATCATCCGCACTGGGCGTTTTCACCAGAAGATATATCGAAAAACTATATGTGTCTGTTCTCAGCGCTACCTCGCCTCATTCACAAGCATGCATCTTGGCTCTGCAAGGACAGGAGAGAGACTGATTTTAAACACCTTTAATCCCACGTTCTTTTCTAAAAAGATAATATCGACGGCAATGACTTGGAATATACTTTGTAAAAATAAGGACTGCCTATCAACTGAACACTCGCATCTCTGGACATCCACGTATAGTGAAGCCATGCTAATGGTCATGAACCTTCTTACTGAGCAGAGAATCCACTTTCGCACGACACGCCTTTCTTTATATAAACATTTCCATCTGAACGTGACTGGGCAGATTCAGTAGCTGGGTATGGATTTGGTACTTGCAAGTGCCGCATCTTAAATAATTATTAATACTAGTAATTACATTGGCTGTCTGGCTAACCTGTATCAGTAGCCCAGGCCGTCTCGGACCAGACAGTCCCAGATGGACAAAATACACATCCCCGTATCTGGACACTGGGATATTAATTGGGGTTTCATAAAATCGGTGCAGTAGAAAGAGTAGTGGGACAGACTTAAGAAGATTACTGAGCCGTGTCTTTGTAGCGTGCTTTACATGCTGACAGTGGTTACCAGTGATTCAATACAACATGCTCTCAGAAAAGCAAAATCAATGCAGACTCATAAAATCTTTTACTGCAATGAAATATTAAAACATTTTATCTATTTGTACAGGCCGACGTTCATTTTGTTGAGTTTTATGCTTAAAACCTTTGCGATAAGAAAAGAAAACGTTTCTGTATCAGAAAAACGTACCACAAACCAACAGAGATGAAACATGTCTGTAAGCGGGGTGTATAGAAGGATAGGCATTTCAGGAAGAAACTCACGTGTCTGTTAAAGCAACTACGTACCAGTGGAAATACCATAAGCATGGACATCAATAAACTATCATGCGTACTCTTCGACTGTTTGTACAAGACATCGACGTCAAATGGTAAAGCCAAAAAACATAAGACCCGTATGGTTATATTGGGGAGTACGTGATTCCGAGATAGGCATCGAGTCAAGCTCAAAGTCACCAGACCATAAGTAACACGTGGTCAGTAATCCCTATTCTGGATTTCTCTTTCTGCACACGTCAACAGTATCTGACAAACGTAAGTGTAAAGCAGCTATTAAACGAGTAAATATGCCTGTGTTTGAATGGCCAAAGACGACTTTCGGATCGTTCATAAACGTCTGGTTACCGGCTACCACAGCTGGGAAACACGGCCTAACTCGACACTAACACATGGTTAATGCAACCTGGAAAAGGACGCGAATTTGGCCATATCATCCTGCATATACCTCAGCTCTGGATACACTTACATGTTTTGATCATTTCTATTTGTGTTGGCCTTGTAGTTTGGGGGTTAATGTTGCATATTTTTGTCAGTTCGGAGAGTTTCTGTCTGTTTCTAACTGAGTCATTCCGAGTCAATAACAACAACAACCATTCATATACAGACCCCAACAATTCCGTCACGCTTTAATCTGAAAGATGCG